CTGTGGCATGTCTGCGAGCAGGCCCCATCCTCTTGTGCCTTTCACTTTCCTCACTAGTGATCCTTGTTAAGTGACGTAGAATGGTTTCGTCACTAACATCACTAGATGACAACAAAGGTTTCAACTCTCGCCGAATATCACTGTGTTTGTATGCTAGCCCTTGGTAGACTGTGTGTAGAAAAACATCTTGAACCGTAGCAGGAGTGTATTTTATTCCTGAGTTTGACAGTTTGGAAGTGAACATGACCCGCTGTTTTAATCCTATGACCCGATATAGGAACTGCTGGGGACTCTCACTCTCCTCCTGTCTAGCACACATAAATTCTTGGAAAAGTTCGGTACTGTTCTTTTCCCTGAGATGTGCTTGTAGAAACCCTTTAAGCTCCATCACAGTCAGGTCATCTTTGTTTATTAACATGTCCTTAAAAGTGCCAGGTTTTACAATCCTGAGCACACCTCGTATTATTTCTGCATCAGGGAACCCATCCTTTTGTCCTTCTTTCATCTGTTTACAAATATTATTGTAGCTTATGTCTGAGGAATGGTCACCAACCTGGCCACCTTGCACCTTGAACTCTCTCCTCTGGAGGTAGGAGAGCTCACGTAGTGAGATTATTTCCTCTCTGGTTGGTTGAGCTGTCAACTGGTGTACTGACCTTTGTTGGTGGGTGTGTCTGTGTTTTGAATCGGGTTGGGTAGGTTGTGGAGAAGAGGGCTCAGTTTGCTGGTCGGTGATGTTTTGTCTCAACACTCTGCCCAGCTCCTCATAGCCGTTGAGCATCCCTTGTAGCTCCAAGGTCTTGTTCCCTGAAGCAGTTCTGGCAGGACCTGGTCTGGTAGTCTCATTACTCCAGCTCTGTAACACAGGATCAACTGGACCAACATCATACACTCTCCCACCAGTTTGAATCAGGTTACAAATATCATCTTTAGCAGCAACATTAACAGGCTGAATAGATTGTGTGCTTACATTGTCTCCAGCACTAGTCATATTACGATTCTTTACAACAGTATCAATACAGTCTTTCAACACTAACAACTCAACCATTCCACCGTCCTCTGATTCAAGTAAGTGCTTGCTGTTCATGAAAGTACTGATATAGTCAAAGCAGCTGTCCTGGTCTTCCTCTTCGAATTCTCGTCGGTCTGGACTCGGAACTGAACCCACGTTATTGGCAATGTGGAGGAGCTCTTCAGCTGACAGAGCGAACAGACTCTTCTTAATGTCCCACACAAGTCTCCTTCTTTCACTCATAGCCATGGCAACAGCACGTCTTTGTTTTCCACACGGTGAGTAACGACTGGTGAAGACTTGACCTCCGCCTCAGCTCACAGTTCCCTCTTATGGCTTCAACGAACCTGGTGGTTCCAGATATCATCAGTTGATCAGCACCAGCTCAGCAGCTGGCACCGATCCCGGACGAGCCCCCAAGATTTGTAACGGGTCCCAGGAGTGGTAACTGCCGTCACAAGTAGGTTACCTGTATAAAGCAGGCAAAAGCAGAGTACTGAAGACAGGATGCCTCTCTTTTCCTTCCAGTTCACGTCTGAGGAAACTTCAGGCGCCGGCATCCCTTTATCAGTCCCCGGAACAACAAATCCATAAACAAAGGTTCCGCTCTGACTTAATGTGTCCATAAATAAAACATAAGCGTTTAAAAGACAAATAAAATAAAAAATATATATATGATCAAGATTTAAATGTGGCAATCCATTTCATGGGTGCTACAGGAACATTTAACTTTTAGGATCAGTTGGACCTCAAGTAAAGATCCCAAAATCTCCTTTCTATAACAGTACTTTTAAGTGCTTTAAAAAAAACATTGATTTTATTTCAGGGCTTATATCAGTGTAGCAGCTGAGACAGGCCTCTGGGTGATCCTGAGGCCTGGACCGTACATCTGTGCTGAATGGGACTTAGCTGGATTGCCCAGGTGACTTCTTCTAGTATAGTCATTATTGTTTAATGGCATCCCTAATGCTTTCAATATGGTCTCTCAAGGACAAATAAACCATCAAGCAGGAATCGAATTGAACTAAAGAAGCAAAAATGATGTCCTCTTGATTTTTCAGCTGGTTGCTACAGGATAAAGGCAGGTCCACTTATCCTGGATTTGTAAATGCTGTAAATTTGTACTTTGATAAGCTCATCTCAGTCATCAAACCACTGATGGTAATTCTAGATCCACCTTGTTCTATGTTCATGTTCTTTCATTAATATTAATAGAAATCTTGCTGAAACATCATGTGTTTCTTAGTTTGAACATGGAGGACCAATCATTGCAGTCCAAGTTGAGAACGAGTATGGATCATATGCTAAAGACGAGGAATACCTAGCTTTCATAAAAAATGTGACTTCAACGTTTATTGACTTCTTTAGTTTATAATCAATTAACAATTTTCTACTTACTTCTTTTTTTGTGTTTTTGTTTTCCATTTTTTGATGGAGTCCCCAATCTAGAGGGGTCAACAAGCTCCTGTTGACGTCAGACAACTGGGAAGGCTTGAGTTATGGAGGGCTGGAGGGAGGTAACAAAGTGGATCTCTCAGTTTAATTTGGTAGTTTTAATTTTTTAGAACAATTTTGCTGTTATATTATGAAATTTACCCAAAAAATTTATATGTGCCTCATTTCAGTTCTCAATACAATAAATCTACAGAGACTGTCATTTGGAGCCATCCAGCACTTAGCATACTTGCAGGTAAATTGTGGTGATGTGGTCTTGGAGTCTGATTTGGGGTTAGGGTTAGGGTGACACTTGAATTTGCCTGCGTGTAAATATAAAGATGTTTCCTTCTATTTAAAATTTGTAGGATAATACAGATGTATTTGAAAAAATATGTGCAAAAAGTGAATGACAGCTTGTCTAAACACAAAACAACATGTTACATCATCCCATTTGTGTTTTTGTTCAGATATGTTTAATGTTTTAATACATTAGTGTATCTGGGGTACCATTCCACAGTATATATGTACTCATTAATAGCTAATAAATAGTTTATAGATACATTCTATTTGTTTATAAATGTTCTATTGTGCAAGTTATGATCAAATTCATCATGTTTAAATCATCACAGATCTCCTGGTTTTAACCTCTTAACGCCTGAATTTGTTTTCAATTATAAACATTTTTTTCACTTGTGCATTTTCCTTTAGGTAAATGTGGTATGTTGGTTGCATTTGGAGTGAATGCAGGTTTGATGCAAATTTGCGACAACTGGCATTAAGGGGTTAAATATTCAATCCATCTTTAAAAAAACATTCAATTCTATTTCTTCTCTCCAAATAACACCCACGATTGTGCATCAAAGGGTCAGAGGATATTGTCTTTACTTGTGGAGTGGAAGAGTGAACTATGGGAAAGCTCTTATGACCAACGCAAAGGTATTCAAATATTTGCGCAATCTATTGTATAAGTTATGTTTTTATTTGATGCATTTAAGTTTCTTGCATGGATTTCTGGGTAGCTTCCTCAAACTCTGTGTCCTCACGTCAGCCTTTTTTCACGGTAATAATTCCTTCAGTTACTTGTTATTACTGAAACAAGCCACACCCCCGTGCACTTTTACAAACTTGTATTTATCTTTCAACACCTCTGATCTTTCCTCTGCCTGCCATGCAATGTTGTTACTTTATGGCTTTTCTTTATTATTTTATTTTTGAAGGTATTGTTGGAGACATCGAGTTGAACCTCACCCCCCTAGGATTCACCATGTTCTGTTTAGAGCTTAAGCCAAACATTATAAAACGGTTTGTTTGTTTTTATTCAAAATCATCTCGAGCAATATTTTGTTTTACATTGATACAATGAAAAAGGAACAATATTGATATTTTTTTTGTGTGTCTGTCTTAGTTTATCAACTCAGATCAATGGAAAACTGTGCACACATCACTGCCGGTCCCAGGATTTGTCCAGACCGGTCTGCATGTGGATGGCCCACCTAAAGACACCTTCATCAATCTTTCTGCAAGTACAATAGTTTCTACATTTTTAATCTAATAGTGTAAGAAATTTAAACCCATTGAGGAGACTTAGAAAACTCTCCAGATCTTACAAGAAAACATATTTTCTGTATTGGTTGTATATGATAATATACTGTAAATAATTTCTGTATTGTTTTCTGAGTATTTTGCTCTCACCCACATGTAGGGTTGGGGTAAAGGAGTTGCATTTTTCAGAACCTTGGCCTCTACTGGTTCATTGGACCCCAGCATTTTCTTTATCTTCCAGGACCTTGGCTCAAGAGTGGAGATAATCAGGTACATCATCTATTCCTGTATAAACACATGAATGAATCTTCTGCTTCCTTTTTTTTCTGATATTTTGTTCAAAATTATGTTTTTCTGTTTTCTTCCAGATTATCATATTTGAGGAACACAAAATGGATGAAAAAAAATACAGTTTTTGGAAAATCCTGATCATGGAAAGGCCATTGTTTATAAACCCCCCATTTGCTCAGTGCTGTAAAGGCTGCCAGCAGTTTTACATTTTCACATGCACACAAGAAGTGTTTGTGCACAAACATTTACTAAACTTATAATACTCTGTATTATTCATAATGACGTGTGCAATAGAGTGCCAATGATTGTTTTGTTTTGTGGAAAACTTTCTTTGGTTATAATTTTTGTATGAACTTCGCTCTGATTACGTAAGATGGATAACGACGCCATAGCAAGCTTCCCATTGGAGTAAAAACCTGTCTGTTAAATACGCGCCTCCCAAATAGAACGTTGGTCCTTTAAGAGGCCGGAAATTGCAAATCAACTTTCACAATAAAACAAAATACTTGCTGTAACAACAATTGTAGAGGCAATTTTTATCTTACACAAAATCAAGATAATATTGTGTAACATAATAAACAAATAATGATGTACTCATCACAATACATGTCGTCTAAAGAGGACAAATGTGTCGTTGGTCACTTGTTTTGAAAGTATATTACGGAAGTGAAGTTTTCACTTTTAGCTAGCTTGACTTGGTTGGCGTCGCTTCTGCTGAGGAAGCGCTTGTCATTAGACCACCTGAATTCGACGTGATGGGTTTTAAAGTTATTCGTTGAATAAGTACTGGTCGTATAGTGTGTCTTTGGAAGTATACACGTTTAAAATGGTTTACAAGCGCTTTTGAGGCAGCTTTAATATTTAGCCTAGCATGTGTGAGTCAGTGGGGTACTGCAAAGTGGTATAAAAAGTAGGTTTCATTGTAGTTAATTAAAGTTTTATTTGTTTTACGAGTAGGATTTTGCTTCCGCATTCCCGACATGGAGTCATTTGGATGCATTAGTAGCATTCTTGGATGCTCTGCTTGCATTGCAGTAGGTGGACTTGTGCTTGCTGCCTACAAACTCGGTGTAATTTACCAGCTGTTTCACAAGGTAGGTGTTCACAAAACACAAAATTTATGGGGCTTTTTTCTTCTATATACATTATAATCTAATACACCGTTGTGCAATTCAGTTGGTGTAACTATTATCCTAGGACCGCCTGTGTAACAGACCTCTGCTTACCTGTGTGTGACAGCTAAGACTTAGCTGTCACACACAGGTAAGCAGAGGTCTGTTACTCTAAACTTTGACCAGTGGCGCGGTTGATGAACACAAAAGGCTATCAAACACCTTGGTTATTAGCTGGATTGTACAAAGAGACACACCACCGCAGGCCTAAACAATGTGCTGCTGTGTGGAAACACTGAGGTGTGACCGGGTGTGACAGGTGACCTTGGGAGGGGCTTTCATTCATGAGTGACCGCTGTTTATTTAAGGATGTTCATAACTACTCACTTGCCGATTCACTAAACTCCAAAAAGTAAGTAAAAACACACCCTATGTGCGTTTATTAACCTATGAAAAGCATTCCACACTGCTGATCATACCGAGACCCGCATGACAGCACAAAATGACACAAAACTTGAAAAACAGCATCTGTCCATTTTCTGTCAGTATTTGGATTTAGGAGTACTGAGCCTAAAACAAGCCATTTCAAATAGTCCCCATTTGTGACATCACAAATGGGGAAAGTAGAATATAGCCAACTCTCATGTGCAAGAGAGAACTGCTGCAGGAGCAGCGAGCGGCTATAGGGAGCCTATTTCCATCTGCACACTGAAAGCATCAGCGGAGCGGAACAGCTTACTCATGACAATCACAGCACTTCAGTGCATACTGGGAGAGTCTCAAAAGCGAAGCGGCTTCTCTGCCATGTTTCTCGCTCGACTCGAAAAATCACAAAATCCCTCGAGACTTCAAAGGTTACGGTTTGATTATGCAATCCTCCATTAAACCAAAAAGAAGGAAATCACGTTGTTATGGCTGTTTGATGTCATGTACGATGTTGTTCCTCTCCACTGCCAGGATTAAAGCCATGAAAACACACTGCTGCATCTCCGGAATGATGCCGTAAGTAAATAAGCCGTTAGGTTACACGTAAGCTTCAAATATAAGAAATAGCATTGCTGCAATACTTTTATTTTGAAAATTACTGGGGATTTTACACTGAAGCTGTGTGATTTCCTGTCTAGCCCTATGGTAATTCCAGTAATTGACGCATCCCAGAAGCGGCTCACGGAAAATTTAGAACCCAGTCCTATCTTTAGCTTCAGAGACGCGTCTGAAAATAGCTGCGTCGTAATGGATTCTATTTGAAGCGGTGCCATTTCACGCGCCACTGATGCTTCTAGTGTGCAGTAGAGGTAAGTCTCCTCCCCTTCCGGTTGGCTCATGGGTCCCTGCCCCAAAAGAAAGAAAAAGTGAGTGCAAGTCAGCAGAGTTAGAAGAGCTGTTTTCATATCTGCTTTGCCTTACGCCCTGAAGTGCTTATTTGTTGTACATCAATTTAAATAAAGAAATTATGTGTATTTCAACCACTACAGTCATGCACTTTGAGATTTATCAGCTTGTAAAAGTTTGTAATTAGTATGACTACAAATCAGACATTGACACGTCACAAATCACCACAGATTCTCCTCTCTCCTAGCATAGCTGCTACTTATCAAATGGCCAGATTTATGGTGGTTCTTTCCTCCTAAAGGAAGGATTTGAAGTTCGCTAAACTTGCAGCCATTTGTCCTCTGTATTTCTCCATTTCTGGTTTGATGATGTCAGTCTGGTGATGCGCATTTGTAGTCCAGGATGTATTATCAAACAAAACCTAAAACAACTTTTGCCCTCGTTTGAAGATAAGCGCTTTCTTAGCGTCAAACTGCTTTTAAATTCATGGACATCATATGTGAAATCCATGGCACATAACAAATGGTATTAGAAAATAGCTTTTATAGCCCCATTGACTTGCTATAATTTTGTTCTTCTGGGAACCCATGGTCCAGAAGTAGGCTCCCTATACTCTGAGCCCCTCCTAGACATCTGAGCTTCTCAGCCTATAGCAGCCTGAGCAGGGGATGGGTGGGTGTGGCTAGCTCTAGGTTGTTTTTTTCAAAATGAGATTGCTGTTAAACGGCTCATTCTGGAAGGTACTGAATATGCCAAAAACAGCTGAAATTGTTTTATGTGAGAAAGATTTTGTGCAAAGAGCATCACAAACACATTTTATACACCATAGAACTTTTTAACTTTAACTAAAGGTCATAATATCTTCAAAACAGGACTGGTGTGATCTCCTGTTTACTCCTGGAGCCTTGCTGCATAAATCCGGACCAGATGAAGATGAAGCTTCTTTGTTATAATGTGGAAAAAAATGTGGATATCCAAAAGCACGGATAACCATCTCAAGTCCTTGTTTTGACACCAGCCTTCTCTTTGGAAATATTTCTCAAATGATAAAAAAACATTTTTGGAATATTCTGCCTTCAATGCCTTCACAATAACTGCTCAAAAAACCCATAAGTTGCACTTAAAGGCACAATTTAAATGACCGATTTGTTGCTTGCACAAACAGCATCAACAGCTGCAACAAATGGAGTTTTTTTCTGTGAACTTAGACGGAGACAAAGAGCCCCAGGCATGGAGGAGAAAGTGTGGCAGAGGTCCTTCGGGCACATGGAGTCAAGTTTCTTTTCACCCTTGTGGGTGGACACATCTCACCCATCCTCGTGGCTTGTGAGAAGGTCGGCATCCGGATTGTGGACACCAGACATGAGGCCACTGCTGTCTTTGCTGCTGATGCCGTGGCGAGGCTCTCGGGTATGAGTCCTCAAGTGACGCTCAACTGTCGTATCGCGTTGAGACGTGTTTTTGTTCAAGCCTTGGACATGTAATGGACATTGTAATGCTTTTGCAGCAAACTGAGTCGTGTTTTTTTTTTCTCCACAACAGGTACTGTAGGTGTAGCAGCAGTAACCGCTGGTCCAGGTCTGACAAACACAGTGACGGCTGTGAAGAATGCTCAGATGGCAGAATCTCCTCTGCTACTTTTAGGAGGAGCTGCTGGTACACTACTCCAGGTGGATAATATCAGGATATTAAAGAAATAGGATGCGAAATAGGAAGAATGAACTTCTAAAACAAGCTGTTTGTGTCACAGGGCAGAGGAGCTCTACAGGATATTGACCAGATGTCTCTCTTTAAGCCACTGTGTAAGTTCTGTGCCTCCATCCGGACTGTCCGGGAGATCGTACCGACGCTTAGGAAGGCTCTTGCGATTGCTCAGTCGGGAACACCGGGTCCTGTTTTCATAGAGTTCCCTATCGACACGCTGTACCCGTACCACCTGGTGGCTAAAGAATTTGCTGTGAAGAACCCGCCTAAAGGCCTCATGGGAAAAGTAGTTTCATGGTACATCATCAGAGTTCTCTGTACACGTATGTTGATGTGTTTTAAGAGATGTTAAATTATACTCTCTGTGGAAGAGCATCACCAGTGTTGTGGTTTGTTTGTAAGGTACCTCAACAACCATCTCATGAACCTTTTCGCCGGAGCCTGGGAGACCAGAGATGTCTCTCCACTTCCTGTCCACATCCCTCAAGCCACAGACGGTCAGGTAGTCCTGCTTTAAGCGTACAACGAATGTTACCTAAATATTCCTGAGGGTGTAGTATTTTAAAATCATTACATTTATGATATATTGATTATTACATAAAGTGTCTTGCATGTGTTTCTATATCAAATACAGGTCATGTACCATTTTCTGCTCTTCTCACAATATAAATCAGGTACAAAGGTGTGTAGAGCTGGTGAGTCGAGCTAAGAACCCAGTGATTCTTCTGGGGAGTCAAGCCACACTCCCGCCAACACCAGTGGAGGACATCAGGTAAAGGAATATATGTGTTGGTCAGTTCTGCAAAGTTCTGGTTGTTTTCAGACTCTTAAAACAAAAGACTTTACACCAACTCTCTTACTGTTTATTCAGATTTCTGCCTACAGCTTCAAGCTTGCATATTTAGATGCGTTACCCTGCTGTTAGTATTACACCTTTGGTTTCCAACTATTTTTCACCATGTTGAAAATGTTGCGTGATTCTAGGTGGCTGATGAGCAGCCGAAATCCCTATTCCCCAATGATTGAGAGTGGTCGCCCGTCCTTGACGATACAGTTAGGAAACCTCTCGGTGGTTTTTGCTGCCTGCTCAGTTATTATGTGGGAACTTTTGACCTGTTTCCTTCATTTCCTTCGGAGTTTGCCATCTAATTGCCGCCTCGTCTTTTGTTACTTCATTCCACAAACTCGGCATGCTCATAAGAGTGGAATCTCTAAAGATGGCTGATTAGCTTGGTGATGTTGTAGCTTGGCGTATTTTGCCTAGAAATCTAGAAAATAATAATTTAAGGTTGGGCCAATCACAGCGCTCTGTGTTTGAAGAGACGTCGGGCAGACTTGGCTCCAGAACTGCGATGCAGTAAAACGACAAAAATGGTGTCAGCCCAGGAACGGCGGCCATTTGAAACAGCTTTGGCATCAACTTTGTCCGATTCAGACCCAGGATTTTCTTTGAGACATGAGCAGATAGAGGAATGTAGGTCCTTTATTTTGAAAAAGGAGGCGTTTGCTTCTTCTTCGACAGTGTATGGCTGACTTCCCGTTTTACTGATTTCCGTAGCGATGAACGTGTCAAGTTGGTTGTTTCCCTGATTTATTGTCTGGATTGTAGTCTGCCAGTAATATTATAAAAGTGAATAAATAAATAAATAAATAAATAACAAATAATTAATTGGATCAGAACTTTTAAAATAAATTTCTTTTTCTGAAATGAAAAAAGTTATGGTTTCTGTATAGCTGGTATATACTCTTGGATTCAGTTTTCTTATTGAACAATGTCTTTTTATTTTATATTAACATAACAATGTTAAAGAAAACACACACACACACACACACACACACACACAACCACCCATCCGCACCCACCCCGCTACACTAGATCTATTACAAAAGAATAAACATGAAGGTCTCAGGCTGATGCCAAATCAGAACATAAATGTGTGTTTACAAATGAAACAACTTATTCAGTTTTCTGATTAAATGCCATTTCTTTTGTTCGAATATGGTCCTGCTTTTTAGAAAGGCTTTGGAGGATCTGGGTATCCCCTGCTTCCTAGGGGGCATGTCTCGTGGCTTGCTGGGTAAAGACAGCCCCATCCACATTAGACAGAACAGACGAGACGCTCTAAAGGAGGCCGACTTGGTTCTCTTAGCAG